TTATTTGTTTACTTAAAGCTAGAAACTCTTATTTCAGATTAAAGGAACCATTAAATGTTTAATTTAGTTACTCATAACTAAACGACAGCGTTTCGTCAACAACAACAAAAATAGGCCTAAAATAACAGTTACGGTGCTCAAGGGAGTAAGAACTGACGATTTGTGGGTGTAACATTATTTTCGCCTCATAACGAATTTTGTAAAGTGAAACGTTTTCACATTAAAACAAAAACTAAGTTATAAATGTCGAAGCAAGCCTTTACTGCTCTTTGGCCAAAATATGTATTCGTGTTAATTCCATGTTCGTTAAAATCAAACTGATCATATCAAACACATACGAAATGCCGGTGTTGATATGCTGCAGATGCTTGAAAATGCACGGAATTTACTCAAACGATGTCGTTAAATTACGCGTATAATAACATATATCAATTATGCTTGAAATCTTTGAATGGAATACAAAGTTACTGTAGCATAAGGAAAAAAATGTAAGGCAGAGTGGGGTATCTCAGTATAGTAAGAAATATTAAATATTTTAATAATTATTATATCCTTATATATATTTCACCATTACATATTATACTGATTTGTCACTCTCGGTTATATTTTTTTTATTTCCTCTACATCTTTTTTTTACAAATTCCATATTATATTCATTCAAGCATCTCAAGTAATTAACTTAAAAACTTTTGAATGTGGCTTTAAATTCACCAGAAATTTATATGTTTTTAGAAACTGACAGAGGCACTAGAGCAAACTTCTTACTTTAGCGAATCGTTATTTTTGTTATGGTTATTACATGGATGCATTTTCTATTACATTTAGCGAAATATTGGAAAGTAATAACCATGACACCACCAGCGTTTTGTGAAAATATACGTCATATTCTATCACAACCGCAGACGCGGATGAATTAGTCTAAATGAAACAGTTAAGCTTACAAGGGCTTGATATGGTCTGGTGATTAGGGCGCTTGACTAACAACCTGTGGGTCGCGGATCGAAACCCGTCGCCAAACATGTTCGCCCTTTCAGTTATGGAGGCATTATAATGTGACGGTTGATCTCACTATTTGCTGTGAAAAGAGTAACCCAAAACTATCGAACGTTTTAACAAAGATCGTTTCTTTTTGAGTTAGCAATAAAGTTTGGTAAAACGTCAAAATAAATTGTAAATATTTTTACAACTGTCTGTCAACCGATTTTCAGATAATTTTCAATATAATTTGGGCCAGGTGTAACCCGGTAATTAGTGTGCTGAGCTGGGAATCCAAAGGACCAGGGCCAAGCGCGGACCAATAGTTAGTTTGCAATACTGGAGCTGGGGTTCCATGGTTCATTATATCTCACTCCACTTTTTGGAGATATGGGTGTGTTACATTTAGTCCGCCAACAGTCAGCGATAGGTGATGTTGGCTAGGTGCCTTCCTTTTAGTCTGTCACTTCAAGATTAGAGAATGTTAGCACGGATAGCCTTGATGTACTTTTGCGCTAATTCCAATAAACAAAAATACAAAGGACCAAGATTTGTTCCCGCGAAACGCCGCAGATAACACTAAAATTAAAATCAATCTCACTATTCGGGGCTCCCGGTGGGACAGCGGTATGTCTTCGGATTTACAACGCAAAAATCAGGGGTTGGATTCCCCTCGGTGGACACAGCAGATACCCCGATGTGGCTTTGCTATCAGAAAACACACACACACACTATTCGGTTAAAAGTGGCAAAGCATGCAGACGGTGGTGTAGCTGACTAAGTTGTCCTTTTCCTGGTCAACAGTTTTAAATTAGGTACGACTTTGCTTCACTCTTAGAGTCTCTGCCCTCATCTTCTAGCTCATGTGTCGCATAAAATGTCGTTCCAGATATCTATGTAATTCATGGGCTAAGCTTAATCTAACCGTTTATGAACACAAGTAACAAAAAATACTGAAACAGCGTTGTAAAATCGGATAATTTGTATAAGAAAAAATGTGATCAACGTTCTTACTGTCCTAGAGTCGGTCGTTTGGTCAGAATTTGATCACATTTTCTCCATCACAGATCTTGATTACCGTTTTTTTGTTTTTTGTATTTTGAGTTACTTCTGTCCTCTGGTGAGTTGAAACTATTGAACCAAATTTAAGTTTTACATTTCTATAGTGAAGTTAATCGCTTGCGCTTTGCTAAAAGCGATGTTTCAAGTCCTGTGGATCTACATTCTTCATAATCGATCGTATTCAGTCTGATGGCCACATTTACACACTGTTGCCCAACATTGTATTTTCCATTATAACAGCCACCGGATGGCTCAGCTATATAAGCCTGAGGAATTAAAACGCTACAGATCGGCTTTCGATGTCCATGGTGGGCAGATCACAAACAGCCCATTGTGTAGCTTTGCGCTTTACAAAAAAAACCTTGTAACAATTCTTTTCGAAAGAGTAGGAAAAAAACTAATATTTTGACTTCCAGTAGGAAATTCGATACGAATCAAATGTATGGGTGCTAAATATAACGCCGTAGCACCTACAGCGACACACCACTAAATTAACATATATTTGGACTTCCAATAGGAAATTCGAAACGAACCAAATATATATTGCACCTACAGCGACACACCACTACAATAGCATATACAATTATTCCAGATAAAGGTATATACAAGTAAACTCATATTTAGACTTCCAACTACCCAGTGTTTCTGCTAGAGTCCATAAGTTGTAATTAACGTGAATTTATCAAACAAAAAGCATCGTAATTAAGGATAACTAAACGCCTGCAACTTCGATCGTCAACCACTAAACTCCAGTTCATGCCACTCATAAACTATACATCGGTATAAACCTACGGTAATACGGTTTTAGTTTATATTACAGAGAGTATAACAACTAGGAATACATTTCTACCGTGCTACACACCAAATCCCTGTTACGTAATTTTTGATCCTTCTCACGTTAGTGATTTATTATATTTCGGAGTAACAAAATTCAACACACAACTCACGCTATCTGATGTAAGAATGAATAAACTAAAGTGGTAAGCTTAAACTGTAAGAACAGTTAAAAAGAGTTCTGGATTGTTTACTTAACAGGCTAATAATTCTGAACTTACAAATGAATGTAACAGAAAGGGAGTACTGTAACAGCAACTTTTTAGTCTTTTAGAGAAAGAAAAAGAAATCCTTAAATATTAAAACCTATATCATACAAGTACATGTTAGATGAAAATATTTATATATTGTATTATAACAATTAAATATGTTAAACAATTATCTACCCCAGTTTGTTCCACATTCTCACTCATCATGAACTTCATACCGATACATTAAAATATCATGGGCCATAATATCTATATGGCAAATTGCTATTGTTTAGTTTATCTAAATGAAAAGCTGGACAACTTGGCTACCTGTTCTATACTAACTACAGGGATTTAAGCGTTATATGTCCTCAAATGTGCTGCTGAGTCACTGGAGAGAAGGGCCTTGATAATTTGTAATAATTTAATACTGAGTTTTATTTAATCGGTAAAAATTCCATCAACCTGACAACAATAAAGCATTTCAATATTTCAGGTACCCGATGATGACAAAACATTGTCGAAA